TTGAAGTCAATTCCGATTAGAAACTGCAGAATGCCTTCAGAAGTTTACTAATAACTTGACCAGCTTCAGACGACGGAGTCAAAGAAATTACCCTCTACTGATCCCAACTCTGCCGGTATGCGCTGTAATGCCAACCATCGTAAAATGGAGTTGGCATAACAAACAAAAATGCAGCATCTGGACGGTATGGTCAAGTTGTGGGAAATGGTCCAAACGAAATTTATCTCCCCTTTTTGCCCAGTCCTGAGAGGCGGCCACAAAGACTGCCGAGCCAACAGACTGTTCGTATTAGAGAAGCAGTGATAACAACATTCTCTATTTTCCTCGTTCTCTCTCCTTCACTCCTCCCTACTTCTCCCTCCCTTCACTTTGGTGGGAGCAATAGATATTCTCGACCGATGGCGATGCTGTAAAGTCAAATGACAATGACGTTAAAACTTCATTGTCTAAGAAAGACAGAAAGCACTTGTTGCCAGCAGAGGCAAGCGACAGACTGGGCCGTCCTGGTTGGACGCACCTGCACAATTTAGGGGGATCAAAGGGAAAAGTAGGACGGAGGGAAGATAAGATTGAGAGACCGAGTCAAGAATGATAGAGGAGAAGAGGAAGACTTTGCTAAAGAGTGGGACGAAATCGGGCAGCAACAAAAAAACGGAGGAAGCGAAGTAGGGATGTGTTTTTCAGCAGCTCTCAGGATCTGGTTGTCATCGGATGTTTACAGAAAATGCACCAATCCTACTCCGTTGCCAAGATTGGGGGTGGCTGGGTGGGTGAGTCTGGCAAAATATGCTCACTTTAACACACAAAACGCATAGTCGACAGGGAGTCAAACGAAACCAGACACATGGACGTACAAGAAAGAATTCCCAAGATGGGCGGATTTTTGCTGGGACCACCTACAGTGGCCGGCTCACTTGGCAGGCGGGAATGTTAATCTGAGGTGGATACCACTCAGAATTGCCTCAGCCCAGCTTAACGGAAGAATGTTGGTGGCTTCCCATTGTCCCAGTGCCATTTTGGCTTCTAGCACGCAAAAGTCCCATCCGATTTGCTTGCCAACAGCATTTCTGGAAGAAGGAGACCACATTGGTCCATCAGACTTCGCCATAGTGAGGCAAACTTGCATAATTAGTAGACGATCTTAGCTGTTGTGTGTTTGTGAGGAGCAGGATCGTACTAGGCGTGGCAACCGATTGTGACCATTCGACGGAGGTGAGTGGAGTCGAACGTCGAGCGGCTGAAACGTGTCGAAACGAAGAGGCTGTTCACCAGTTTCGCCGTAAGAAATAAGCAGTAACCGGCTTGCCACTCGCTGATCTCGGCCGTGGTCCAGCCGATCTCAACGAATGGTATGAATGGGTTGCAAGTTGTCGAAATTCCAGTCGTCATGGCAAGGATCCTGAGGCTGTACTGCGCAATTCCAGTCGCCCCAAGGTGAAAAGAGATAA